ATTAAACAGATCTAATTTATAATGGGCTCTTACGCAAATTGCCTTTGAGCACTCAGTAAAAGAAAATGAAAAGAAATTAATAAGGACAATGTGGACTAAAAAGTTGCAGAGGAAAAAAAGGAGTAAAAAGCCTATTCCAGCTCACTCTCCACACACCCCAGAGTGTTAAATAAGCATTCCCATTAGCCACATAAATATAATGATGTGATAATAAAACTTGCATGCACTTATCGCCATAAAGGCCAAACCCCTACTCACTTGCCTGCAGTGACTCCAAGCAAGTGAGTAAGATTTCAACTAAAACACTTTTTATTTGGCATGCAATTCAGTACTGGAGGGAGAAAGATGTGTTTTCATGAGTACTTTGCCCCTTGCCAGCCACTGAATATCTGACCTCAGTGGAGTCCCAGGCCTCACCATGGGATTGCAGGTGCTAGGGCATTGCTGAGGCTCCTCCTGCTGCACAGTTCCCTCTGCTGGGTTATCAAAAGTGCTTCACACCAGGAGTTTTTCTCCCTTTTTGTAGTTCTGCAAAAGACACAGGGAGCAGGGAAAGCTGACAGCTTAGAGCTGTTGAAAGTAGTATATTGCAAAAGTTTTTCAGTTAGTTTGAGTTCGTAGTGTCCTCTAATGAAGATGATAACATGAGAAATAATACACTGATTATATGCAATAGTAAGGAATCTATATTTTCTGGGGGGGAGGGGGGATGAGAAAAGAGAGGGGGAAAAGGTTTATATCTACCTGAGTTTGAGAGTAATGCAGTATTCTGCATGCTTGCGAACATTGAGGCTTGCATCATTTCCATGTTCATTGTATCCCTTTGATTACAAAAGGGAAGAATTTTAGCTCCGTCCACAGAAGCCACTAAAACAATCTGCAGAACTGTGTCATATTTCTTAGTTTTAAGTTGTGCAATAGTTGACTTGTTTAATTAATATTGGCTGTCTCATTCCTAATTATTGCTGCTTTCCCAAATTCTCAACTAAGCCAGAATATACTAAAGGGAAGTCTTTTTCCTTATGTGTATAATAATATATATGTAAATATTTCTACACTGAGAAAGCAAGGTTATAACTACTTACACTATGTGTACAGCTTTGCTGTGGACTGAGTATATTTTATGTAATTTTATGCCTGACAAACAGAACTTGTTTCTGAAGAATTTGAGAAATTGTGTCATCTTCCCATGCTAGCTTTTTGTTCTAGAAATGCTGCTATGGGAGTGCTGGTCTGTGGGGAGAAGGATCCATTTTATTCTATGAAGTACTGTCCTGTTGTTTCCTTGCCACTAAAACCAAGCTTGTGGCTGTACCTGTTTCGTGTCCTTACAGTAAAACCGAGTTCTCTGATAGAAGCAGAGTTTTCCACTGGTTAGATTTTCAAGCCTTGAAGGATTTGATTTCTGACAGGGGAATGTGATACTTAAAGCCACAGACATTAATTATTACCCATTGGAGGTCGCACTTTCAGCCCATGGGACATTAATTTTCTTGATATACAGAAAATTCCAGCCTGGTAGTTTTAATTAAATATTTCAGAAGTACATTTTCTTGTAAATGGACTACAGTTTCTTACCCTTTCCCCTTGATATTTGGCTAATTCTGCTTATAATTATCAGCCTATTTTGCAAGCCTCCTTCAAAGCAGTTTCATGTTTGGAAATCCATTCAATCTTCAGCCAATGTCATCAAGAAGGAGAAGGAGGAAAACATCTTTCAGGTTTTCCTGGGACGTGAAATTATAATAAACATGACTTAACAGTCCCTTGTCGTGCCAGTGGACTGATGTGTCTTAAGCATTTATAATGGCAGTGTAAGACCAAGCAGGAGTAACAGTGGAACTGTGGGTGACAGAGAGGATGGTTGCTCAAGTCGTATTGTACAGAAAAGTTGCCAAGCAAGGCATGGCAGAGCGCTTGCCACTGTGCTTCCAGGAACCCCAGAGCACAGGGTGAGGCTGGAGGGTGAAGGCATTGGTCCTCGCCCAGATCCTGGCATAGGCAGGTCTGCTCTCCTGATGGGTGTAGCAAACGCTGCTGAGGAGGACTACGCCACCAGGTTTGGGTCCCGTATTATCTCAAGTCTTTCCCTGGAGGCCATGTGAAGGAAGCTGGAATCTACATTTTTCCATCTGAAAATGAAAAAGACTTTTTAATTTTGTATACAGAGGTCTCTCTGCTGGGGGTCTACCCTTCCGAAGCTGTTTTAACATGTGAAAGTGCAGTTGTGTATTGAAAAGTGATCCTGGGAGGGGAGCTGGAAGGGAATTTGGACTTCGCAGTTCCTTTGCTTTGCTGCTGCAGAGCAGTAGTGCGCTAAGGCAGCACTTCATCAACTCTTCCAGCCTGGACCCAAAGCCTTTCATTTCCCAGGTAGCACCCTTGATGGCTGTGTGCTCTTGTCAGCATTATGGTTTTGTCAGAAGGCTTCATCCTCTGATACTATCTTGTTTTTCTCCTAAACAATTAATAAAATGAAGACCAAAAAGCCTAGAGGTCTAAAATATGTAATTATAGTAGCAATTTAGAACTAGGAAAATGCTGCAGAAACCAATTACAATTATGTATTTCAGTAATGACTGACTTGGCCAAATACATATGTTTTGTGTGTGAATTCCACAATAGATTCCAAGATGACATGCTTCAGTATAGGGGAAAATTAATTCTAAATGCTGAGTGCATCCGTATTAGACTTAAATGTTGTTCATCCACTTCATGAACAGGAGCCTGTATTATGTGGGCTTTCACAGCTTAAATTTTGAGCAGCAGGGCAGGCAGTAACAAGAATTTGAGGAAGAAAGCTGGAATAGTTCTAAGGGACAGATTTGGAAAAGAAATATTTTGTACTTGATCATTCTGCAAAATGTATTTAATTCCTTATATATTACAGATTTCATTCAAATGGAATTGATTTAGGTATTTCTTATGGACTCGTAAATTGCCAGCTGAGGTTAATGGGGTTTTATTTCTTTCTTGGTCTTCATCTCTCCCAGCTGATGAGGAAAAATAAATAGATGAGTCTTGTATTCTGTTCACAACTTATTACTGGCTGTACTGCTGAGGTCCCCGCTGTGGGCACAGACATCCCTCCAAACTCTATTTGGATTGCCTGTGCTGTTTTCAAAGGGGGAGAGTGTATGGCTGTGGGTGCGACACAGCATGTAGTCACCTGGAGCCCCATCCCTCTGCAGTTTCCCAAGACACAGCAGCAAGCCCAGCCATCTCCCCCTGTTTGGGAACCACTTCTGCCTTTTGCCTCTTGAGCCTTTCCTTGGAGATCCCTTTCTGCTGGCTAATAGATGGGGCATTTCTCAGCCTGGGATGCTCTGTGCAGCCGAGGGGGGCTGATCACCCTCAGTTTTTGATTGGTTGTGTGTGGTTTGTTATTTTTCTACTGGTGGTGGTGAATGGTTGTTCCTTCACTTCTTTCAAAACAAAAATAGTGTGCCATGACTGTTTGTTGTGCTCACTCTATCCTTTTCGTAAGAAGACAGATTTGTGCCTTACCTCCACCACAAACTGAGTGTGATCAGGGAATAAAAGTGCCTATCGGTCCCCTAGCTCCATGCTGATGTCTGGTGATACTATTGTATGCTCTTTAGTAACCTGCAGAGGTTTTACTGTGCTGGTTCCCAAAACAGATTGGTTATACTGGGACAAAAACTACATACGAATGAGTCTTTTCATTAGTATGATGAACACACAGTATCTGCAGAATGTAACAGGTTATGAGAAGGCTCTTAAAATCACACCCCAAATTGTCAGTGGTATTTCACGTAGAGTGTCTGTGTGATGCATTGCAAGCAAGCTATTTTGAGAGCATTTTGTTTACAGTTCTGGTGTAGGAAAGAATCAAAAAGTACTTCCACATTCCGCATACATACATAGGAACAGGAACACAAAATCCAACCTCCCAGTCACTCCTGCTGATTTCATTGGGAAACCACCAGTGACTCAGGAGAGTTTTGCAAACACCCTGGTGCAGAAACACAATGTATATTTTATGTAATTCTGACGAGGGTTTTGTTGGGAGTTATCACCCCTTCCTGATGCTCTTAACTAGAGCTTTGCTTGTGAGGCACGTGTCCAGAAAACATGTGTGCACCCAACAGCTGATGTTGTAAGAACTTTGTCAAGCAGAGGCTCTCTAGGTGGCTGGGTGGTTCTGGTGCTCAGTATATAAAAACGGATGCATTTTTCCTGATTATTTTAGAGTGTGCTAATTGATACCTGCCACAAACAGTTATTTTTTACTGTGAAATAGTTCTCTCACATTGAAATGTTATAAGCTTTGTATCCCCAGCTTCTTATTCCCACAATGCCTGCCCAACTGTTAGTTGCAGTAAATCACAGAGTGGTTTGGGTTGGAATGGACCTGGAAGACCATCTAGTTCCAAGCCCCCTGTCATGGGCAGGGATACCTTCCACTAGACCAGGTTGCTTACAGCCCCATCCAGCCTGGCCTACATGGCATCCTTCTAAATGCCATCCAAAAAATGAACTGTGTTTAAACAAAAAACAAGGAAAAAACAAGGAAAAAAAACAAAAAAAAACCCCATCCCTATTTCCTAAGTGCTAATTTCTAAACTAAATCAGGTTCACTGTGCAGTCTCCTGGAAAGAAGAATGGGGTCAATCAAGGGGTTGGTGCATCTGGAGAGTAGGGTCTGCTGATCTGGGTTATGAAGAGAGGTACCAAAATCATCAAGGGGGGTGTCATCTCACAATACACTTATTTGGGCAGCAAGGCTGATGTGAGGGGCTCCTGCCCCGGCTGCTTCTGCTCCACCTCCCCAGCTGCACTACTTAGAAGCTTAAGGCTACACTAGAAACCATGCATCTTAAATCGTGGTTTGAAACCATCCCTTTTCTTACCAAGTGGAACTGCAAAGCTGCTTCAGTGAAGTTGGTGTGAGGGGGTTTTGCAGCATCAGGCTATTTGAATGGCTGCTGAGTGAGGCTTGGCCTGACCCTGCTGCTCTCCTCTTGTTTTCTCTCCAGAATCGGCCGGCTTTTCGATGGCACAGAGCCCATTGTCCTCGACAGTCTCAAGCAGCATTATTTCATCGACAGAGATGGGCAGATGTTCAGATATATCTTGAATTTTTTAAGGACATCCAAACTCCTCATTCCTGATGATTTCAAGGTGAGATTTCAAGGCACTTTGGTGTTTTGCATGTACCTTGATAAAACAAGTATCTAGCACATAGTCAAAACAGAGCCCTAGACCTGGGGAACTTCTAGGGCATGGTGTTTTATTTCAGATATGTGGCAAAAGTAAGCATGGGGTTCCTAAAGGGGCATCTGTGTCAGCCTTTTCTAGAGTGGCATCAATAATAAATTTCCCCCTCCTCCTGGCTCTAGTGTAATGGAGCAACCTTGCCATGTTTGACCTGAGGAAATTAAATATTGTAGGATGCTGATGAAGACAGAAAGGATGTTACCATCTGCAACTGACTGCTCGTGAGCTTTGCTGATTAGTTGTCCTCTCATACACTTTTATGCTTCCCCTCTGATTGCAGCAGCTCCAGCTTCCACTCCCACGCTGAAATTCAGAGAATCACAGTATTGACAAAATAAACTGCACACATGGTAATATTTGAGCGTTAAGTCATAAAATATTTTCTCCCTCAGACTCTTGAGTGCATACTGCAAGTTTAATTTTGGAGTTTTAGAGAAGTCAGGGATAAATAGTTCCACATGTATTAAAGCTTTATTAAAGAGCCTGGCTTTTTTCTTTTTAATAACAAATTAAATTTGTGGAGTTCACCATGATAGACATTAGCCTACAGAGGTAGAACTTCAGACTCTGTGTGATGATGTCCGCTTGTAGGTATGTGGGTGCGTGTGTGGTGTCAGTGCTGGAGACTGCAGTTGCAATCAGAACAGATCTTTATCGATACTTAATGAATGCTTATCAGTGTAGCTGTCTGTGCTATTAGTTCACTGCAGGAAATACAGCAACTCAGATTGAACAGGAGAGGTGATGGGGAAGGGTTTAGAGCAGTTCACACTGGTGTACAGTCTTTTATTCCTCATATTTGAGACAGATTTTCAGTGTTTGGGGCATAAGACGTGTGAGGTTGAGTTCAAGACCCATGCTGCAGCAACCTTTGAATCCTCTGCTGTAGATGCATGCTTACTTCTCCCATGCATGACAAGGGTAGATCTACCTGAGTAATGGGGAAGTTTGGAACTAGCTGATAAGCATCATATCATAGAATCATAGAATGGTTTGGGTTGGAAAGGACCTTAAGATCATCTAGTTCCAACCCCCCTGCTATGAGCAGGGACACCTCACACTAAACTATGTCATGCAAGGCTCTGTCCAACCTGGCCTTGAACACTGCCAGGGTTGGAGCATTCACAACTTCCCTGGACAACCCGTTCCAGTGCCTCACCACCCTCACTGTGAAGAACTTCTTCCTTATATCTAATCTAAA